ACCAAGCGAAACGTCACAGAATTCTCCGCGAAGTATAAGATTGTAAAGAATAAAAAAGTCAATAATATCTATACGCTTATAAATGAAATTGCAATTACAAGAAAAATACACGTATAATAAAGAAATATTTGCAAATAAAATTTCACAAAAATAATTTCCAATTGAGAATAAACATTGAACACATAGATCGATGGAAAATCATTTCCTATCATTACATAGGATATCCATGGCACTTATTGGCGTCGTATATACGATCGCCGTATATTCGACATGAGACTCGTTTTACGGTTAGAAAAAAAAAGAGAGAGAGAGAGAGAAAAAAAGAAACAAAAAATAAAAACAAAACCAAACCATGCTCTTTATCTTACTTCGATGCTTTCCTTTTCCATTTTATCTCTTCGAAGGTTCACGACAGACTGACGGCAAAATGGTCGAGCGTCCTCCCTGGTAAACTCCGTTTGAAAAGTTGTTATACGCATCTAAAGGGTTGCTTAAATAGTTAATCTGAAGTCGATGGAAAAAAATATTGAGAGACAACTCGTCCCTAACCCTTTTCTAACGAGGAATTAAACTGTTACTTTGTTACGATGATCGATTACGTTAGTTAGTGATGGTAGTGATGGTAGAGGAATAGGTGTGTGCATAAAAAATGTACTCTCAACGCTTCGGTTTAACTCTCGTAGGATATCTTATCGTTTCACAATTCTCATGTAAAATTTGCTATAACTTCATTCCATTTATTTCTCATTGAATTTTTTTTTTCTTTTTTTTTTTTTCTTTTTCTTTTTTTACTTTTTTCAGGAAAGAGGGTGTTCATAGTTGTAGAGAGAAAAAAAAGTGATATCTCACTCTAAGGGTATATTCACCCTTCTTCGCTCGGATATAGTTCGAAGTTTCTCAGTTTACCTGGAACATAATATTCCACCCCTTCTCCAACCACCATTTTGCTTTATTCGATCGTCCTTCCGTTTTCTTGTTGCTTCCCAGTTCTTTATGATACGATCAACGAAACACATTGATTGTGGCTGAATTAATGGTGGTAGTTAAGAGGAAAACAATTTTTTTTCTTTTTCTTTTTTTTTTTCCACGGAAACAATTATTCGTAACTACTTCGTGGAATTACATGTCTTTACCATTGTACTTTTATATGGAGGGTTTCACGTTAGGGGAGTGGACGAGATGAGTGCTTTAAGATGTAAATAATTTCTGGGAAATGAGGGAAACTTTTTTTTTCTTTTTTCTATTTTTTTTTTTAATTATCACTTCCTTCACACAAGATTCCTTTTCCTTCATTATTAAGTTATTATTTTTTTTTTCTTTTTTTTTCTTTTTTTTATTGATATCTCAGTAATCTTTTTTTCTGAGATTTTACTTTCACTATTTTCTTTTGTTCTACTTTCGTATCATTTGAGTTATAAAAGTTTTAATTTTTCTTCGATTAATCTGTTTTTTTTTTTTGAGGACGGAGGGAGGAGGGGGAGTTTTTTCTTTTTCGATCGACGTTTTTCATTTATTAAAACTTTTTTTCAATTCTTAACTTTGTCGACATAAAATGCTTTTTTTTTTCTAAATAATTTTTTTCTTCCACTGCCATTTGTACTTTCGCTTTATTTTATTTCTATATTGGAAAACTTTATACCTGGTAGAAGATTTTTATTTATTAATTCTCTCAATTATATATTAATTATTATATTGCCGTTTTAAATATGTTGAATTAATTGAATTAATTAGAAAAAAGAATTAATTAGAAAAAATTAAAATCTATTCGCATTTTAGAAATTTCGTACATTGCAATAACATGGATACTATGCATTATCATTCTTACTAACAAATTTATTAAAAAAAAAAAATTTTTTTTTGTCGATCGTCTAACAATTGCATTTTATGACATTAGTACAAATCAACGATGTATGCACAAATAGTTTGACCGTCTGAAAAGAGAGAGAGTTGAAATAAAAATTGAAGAAAGAAATTAATACTACTTAATCCATCTCATTTTTATATTTTCACAAAAATATATTCAATATCGATAAGTATTCCATCGATGATTTGACGATCTGCAAATAAAACGAATAATAATAATAATAATATTAATAATAATGAAATAACAATTGTATTGTTGTAGCAAGGAATGTAATTTAAAAAAATGAAAAAAAAAAAAATAATAATAATAATCCAAAATATACTTAAGTTTGTGAAGATGGTCAAGGACAAGACAAGCAAATTTGCCAGACTTTAAACATCGCTATCATTTTCGTACGTATCAAATAAATAAGAAAAAATTTGGAATCGATTGCCGGTAAGTTATATCAATCGTAATTATAAATGGCATTAATAAAATTTCTACTCTAATTTAATGAAACAGTTAAATTAATCTGATAATAGATATTCCAATTGTATAAAAAATTGTCGGAATTGGAATACCTATAAAAAATGTATTCCTATAGCTTTGATTCAGTTTGTAGGACAAAGGAAAAACCTTTTTTTTTTTTACTTTTTAATTATCATTCGCATTTTACAACATTATTTTTCTTTATTTTAAAATTAACCTTCTTCTGTTGGTATATAGATAATCTTTTTCTTTTTTTTGTTTTTCTTTTTTTTTGATTTTTTTTTTCTTTTTCTTTTTTTTTTTTTTTTTTTAACTATTTAATAACTTGCATTGACTATGAATTTTCTTTTTTTCTTGAATGTTTCTTTTCCTTTTTCTCTCGTATATTATCAATTGTTTTTATTTATTATATTTTCTAAGCAGACTACTTATTTACTATTTTTTTTAAATTTAATTTTTTATATTTTTTTTTTATTATTTAATAATTTGCATTGACCATGAATTTTGACTTCCTTTTTTTGAATGTTTCTTTTCCTTTTTCTCACGTATTTTATCAATGGTTTTTATTTATTATATTTTCTATGCAGACTACTTATTTACTATTTTTTTAAATTTAATTTTTTATATTTTTTTTTTTTATTATTTAATAATTTGCATTGACCATGAATTTTTACTTTTTCTTTCTTGAATGTTTCTTTTCCTTTTTCTCTCGTATATTATCAATTGTTTTTATTTATTATATTTTCTAAGCAGACTACTTATTTACTATTTTTTTTTTAAATTTAATTCTTTATATTTTTTTTTTTATTATTTAATAATTTGCATTGACCATGAATTTTGACTTCCTTTTTTTGAATGTTTCTTTTCCTTTTTCTCACGTATTTTATCAATGGTTTTTATTTATTATATTTTCTATGCAGACTACTTATTTACTATTTTTTTAAATTTAATTTTTTATATTTTTTTTTTTTATTATTTAATAATTTGCATTGACCATGAATTTTTACTTTTTCTTTCTTGAATGTTTCTTTTCCTTTTTCTCTCGTATATTATCAATTGTTTTTATTTATTATATTTTCTAAGCAGACTACTTATTTACTATTTTTTTTTTAAATTTAATTCTTTATATTTTTTTTTTTATTATTTAATAATTTGCATTGACCATGAATTTTGACTTCCTTTTTTTGAATGTTTCTTTTCCTTTTTCTCACGTATTTTATCAATGGTTTTTATTTATTATATTTTCTATGCAGACTACTTATTTACTATTTTTTTAAATTTAATTTTTTATATTTTTTTTTTTTATTATTTAATAATTTGCATTGACCATGAATTTTTACTTTTTCTTTCTTGAATGTTTCTTTTCCTTTTTCTCTCGTATATTATCAATTGTTTTTATTTATTATATTTTCTAAGCAGACTATTTATTTACTATTTTTTTAAATTTAATTTTTTCTTTTTTTTTTTTTTTACTATTAAATAGTAAAAAAAGAAAAAAAGAAAAAATTCATTGACTATGAATTTTTACTTTTTTTTTCTTGAATGTTTCTTTTCCTTTTTCTCTCGTATATTATCAATGGTTTTTATTTATTATATTTTCTAACCAAACTTCTTATTTACTCATTTATCGATATGCAAATATATACATAATATATAATTTTTTTTTTTTTTGATTAACATTTGTTTCCATTTTTTCTTTCAATTGTCATTTTTATTTATTACATTTTTCTTAATTTTAATTTTACATCAAATATAATATGATCGTTTCAATATTTCGATATACAAATAATGAAAATTTTGCATATAATAAATGCATCCACTTATTATTCTTACAAATAAGACAAATAATTTATGTTAACGAGACAAATAATTTACGAGAAATAAATATAACAATAATTATTTCTCGATATTGACTATTGCAATATAATTAATGATTTTATAATAATTAAAAAAGAAAAAGAAAATACAGACGATATTAACATAACATGTAAGATTTACTGGAAAGCTCATTTTGGTTTTTATGTAAGTAAAAAAAAAAAAAAAAAAAGAAAAATTTGAAACGTTTTTGCCAATACCAAATTTTGTTATCGTATATGTACGTAATTTATCAAGAAAACAATAATAACGAAAGATAAAGAAAATTGAAAAACAAATTGAGTCCATATGTATTTTCAACTTTGAAAATATTAATCACTTACGTTTGAATTTACATATTATTAATAACAATAATATAATAATAAATTAATAATAATTATTATTTTAATTATATTAATAAATTTTATTATTTTCATTATTATTATTATTTTTATCCAATCACATTTACGTGTGACAATAAATAAGATCAAAAATAATTGACCTTCTTTTATTTATTAAAAGTATCAAACAATTGGTATATCCGTCAAAATTCTTTGAACATTTGAATACCAATTTTGTTTATAAAGGAAAAAATTGATGAGATTTGTTCGACCGTTTTAAAATTGTATTTATATATTTTATAACGTCGATACAATTCAACGATGCATAAATAATATGTTTATCTTCGTACGAAGGAGGTCGATATAAAGTAAAAAAAAAAAAAATAATAAACAAACAAACAAATAAATAAAATAAAATAAAATAAAATAAAATAAAATTTGTTACTATTTAATCGATCTTACTTTAATTCCATTTACAAAAATGTTCGTAGTACCGATAAATATCCCATCGAAGTTTTCACGATCTGCAAATATTAAAAAATGGAAATTATGATAATAATGAAAAATAACAATTGTATCGTTGTTTCAAAATAAAAAAAAAACAGAAAAAAAAGAAAAAACAGAAAAAGAAAAAAACCAAAATCTTTCAAAGTATACTTACGTCTGTGAAAATGGTCAAAGATAAGACGACAAATTTGCCAGATGTTAAAAATTGAGGCTTTTTCGTTCTTATCATACAAATAAGAATAAATTTCGAGTCCATTGCCGATAAATTATACCAGTCATAATTGTAAATGGCATTACCAAAATTGGTACTCTAATTGAATAAAACGAATGACATTAATAAGATAATTGATATTTCAATTAAGATATTATTAAGATAAATCGTTTTATTTACTTCCTGAATAAGACATTCGCCAATGTAACAATAAATGAAAAGTGTGCTTATCACGCAAAATCCATATAAAATGAACAAAACCAATGCTATATTATCTTTCGTTTCTTTACTCTAAAAATTGAAAATAAGAAAAAGCATTGATTAGTTGTTATCATGTAAATTAAGGACGTACATGATACCTTTTCAATAGAAAACATAATCAATTTTTTGTTTTCTTCTTTTTGTTTTTCTATATCCTTTCAATACATACAGTTAGTAATAATGATCGGTTAAAATTTTGGATTACAAAATTCTCAAAAATGATTCATTAAGAGTATACACAAAGATAATTGTTATCTGTTTATCAATCTAAACTTCGACATGCATTGTTTTCTTTTTTTTTTTTTTTATTAATTGTAACCTAAAAAACTGCAACGTCTGTATTCAAAATTTCATGAAAATTATTCAATCGAGAAATTTCAAAATCGTCGTTCATTATCTGCATCATTAAATTTAGGATTTCTTGTCGACTCGATATTTTTTACGAAGTACTCCTTTTTTTTTTTTTTTTTTTTTTTCTTTAAATAAGAACAAAAGTGCGATGCTGTCGACAAATAGAAAAATAATATAAACGTTCATTATTTTGTATAAAAATTTAATTTTCAAAATTCGATTCAAACAGATACGCGTTTTACTCTTATATTTTAAGAATTATATTATGTTGGAAACTATGAAACGGGCCTTTTTGTTTAGTTATTTATTTTCATTCAATGCCCGTTTCATAGTTTCCAACCAAATATATAAGTATTAGGTTGGAAATTATGAAACGGGTATTTTTGTTTACTTATTTATTTTCATTCAACGCTCGTTTCATAATTTCCAACCTAATACATGCACAAATTATTATCTTTTTATTTTAATTAATGATCACTGAAATTATCATAAGTAATGCATTTTTGCAATATATCCCTTCCCAACGTACGTTTATCCATCATTTTTCATTATTCTTGATTAAAGAAATTATCAATTTAATCTATAACGTTAGTCCTATTATGTAAAGAAAATATTTATTTTAATAAATTATGCAGATATGTAAAGATGAAAAATTTGCAAAATATATTACAAAAATATATTCGTTCTTTTTTTATTTTTTTTTTCTTTTTTTTGCTCTAATGTTATGTACGTCCTCATGATGATAAAGGAAAAAAGAAAATTATTCGCTCTTATGTGTACCATTAGTAAGTGATAGCCGGAAATACAAAGATGTATGGTGGTACCTAATAGTTGTTGCATAATCACGATATTAAAATTATCTTCCAATCTTTCCGTCAACCTGAAATATTTCATGTAAAAATTAGAAATTAAATATTACGATAGAGTTCCGTATAATATTTTGTCTTTTAAACGATTTGAAAAAATTTGGAAAAAAATAAAACAATCATTACGATATCATTCATACAGAAATGTGTATTTCTTTGTTTATATATATGTTTTTTTTTGCCGATATATTTTATGAAACGTAGCAGATTAAAATTAATAAATATATGATCAAATGATATTATTATATAATATATATGTATATATTAATTATAAATATATCATTACGATGTCATTCATACTGAAATATATATTTCTTTGTTTATATATTTGTTTTTTTTTGCCGATATATTTTATGACACGTAACAGCTTAAAATTAATAAACATATGATCCAATAATATTATTATATAATATATATGTATATATTAATTATTAATATATCATTACGATGTCATTCATACTGAAATATATATTTCTTTGTTTATATATTTGTTTTTTTTTGCTGATATATTTTATGACACGTAACAGGTTAAAATTAATAAATATATGATTCAATAATATTATTATATAATATATATGTATATATTAATTATGAATATATCATTACGTTATCATTCATACAGAAATATATATTTTTTTGTTTATATATTTGTTTCTTTTTCTTTTTTTTTACTGATATATTTTATGACACGTAACAGGTTAAAATTAATAAATACGTGATCAAATGATATTATTATATAATATATATGTATATATTAATTATTAATATATCATTACGATGTCATTCATACTGAAATATATATTTCTTTGTTTATATATTTGTTTTTTTTTGCCGATATATTTTATGACACGTAGCAGATTAAAATTAATAAATATATGATCAAATGATATTATTGTATAATATATTTGTATATATTAATTATTAATATTTATTAATATATATATTAAATATTTTTATATAATCAAATGTATGGTTTATCTTATATTAAATATTTTTATATAATCAAGTGATAGTTTACCTTATCAATCGATAATGTCGTAATACAAGTTTTTTTATACCCTCGTGATAATTTTCCGAATTATTTAATATATCATTCATCTTATGCGACAATATGGCGAATTGTGCGACAATTTGTGTGGACAAATTGACGAACATACAATCAAATCCTACATAACCAAATATGATAGACGGTATGATCACTGTCTGATAAGCACATACCAATGCATAAATCCTATTATCATTCAAATCGATGATTACTAATACTTTATAAGGCAATTGATTACCCATGGAATTATTCTGCTTTGCTGTAAAATAGAAACGAACCAAATGAACAAAATATATTTTTAAGAAATAATTAAAATATATAATTAAAATATATTCATATTGAGTTAATGTCCGATATAATGATACGTCATATTGTTCGTGAAATATTACAGGATACTCATAATTAATCGATTAATTTAAAATTAGACACAGAGAGATAGATACAAATTTTATTATATTTTTTTTTTTTTTTTTTTTTTTTTTTAGTATTATATTATCTAATCAATCGTGCATTTGTCATCTCTTTCATAATTTTTCAAATACTATACATCCACGTTCATAAAAATATAAACCCACTGTATAGATAATAATCACTGACATTTAGAGATTTTTTATTTCGTTTTTTTTTCTTTTTTTTTTTTTTTTTTTTTACAGTATGTTCCATAGATCTAAACAAATAATAATCAAAAAATAATGTAATATCGAATGAATGTCGATGAATTTCGATAAAACTTTCTACCTAAGTCGATTTATTATTTTCTCAGTTCGTTTTTTTTAATCGGCTGGATGGATTTTTAGTGCCGTACCAATGTCGGCCATTTTTTTCAACAATTTTTTAAGTAATCTTTTCAATTGTGAATAATAAATATCAACGACAATTGATTATGGCAATACAAATTAAATTATGCCATTGCAGTACGTGCAATCAGACCTAATTTAAATGTGAATATAGCTTGTTGATTTTGAAGATCATTGATTAGTATTGTTACAAGTTCCTATATAGCACTCATTTCTCATCCTTCGAATCGATTATGCTAATGGATCATCTTGTTGTCTGATCAATAACAATGTACAAATAACTTTCTCGTTGATTTTCTGATTTTATAAAAGGTTTTTTTTTTCTTTTTTGCATTGTTGACTATCCCAAATGTGTCAGCTGTTCTGCGTACTATTAATTTTGAATTCAACTCAAACAATTACGATAATTATTTGAAAACAATATTATTGAATTCTTCAGATCGTTCAAGTGGACGATCATGTTCAACAAATCTAAATGAATGACTGATCAAATTTTTGTGAACCAACTTTTGCACTTACTGACATTTATTTATCACAATATTTAATGTTGTTGCGTTAAATCCTAATCGAAAATGTAACAAAATACAATGATGCATGATTACTTTCGAAGCTTGTTAGTATACCTATTATTTTTTTTTTTTTTTTTTTTTTTGGAATAATAGAAACCTTTTTGTTCGTTTGTTCATTTACTTCTTTATGATATATAAAATAATAAAATGTACGTTTACATATCGAAGCTATACGTCGAATTGAATTTAATTTACTTAATTATGAATATTAAAAAAGATTATTGATTTAAATGTGCGAATTTAATTATTGTAAATATTTTTGCATTTGTATTTGTCACATCGATTAATTTAATAATAAATAAATAATGAAATAAATAAATAGATAAACAAATAGTAATAAAAGGCGTAAAATTATAATAATGGCATAGAATAAGAAGAAAAAGAAAAAAAGAAAAAAAAAAAAAAAGAAAAAGAATTGAATTACCAATTTGAAGTCCAATCTTAAGTCCATTCACGTAATACAATAATATGGCAAGAGTCATTGAAATGACAGCTGTTAGTATAAAACGTGGTGGTAATTTAGTATATTTGTAGAATATCTCTTTCTCGTCCTTACTCTCGTATTTTTCAGACAATGAGTCCTCTTTGACATCCATCAATAATTTACCCAATGATTTTCTATTGATTCTAATGGTTGTTATCTTCGTAAGTGTCATCGATAGTATAATATTTTCCGATATATTCGATACGACGTTGTCGACAGTTTTTGGAAAATAAATCAAATGTGCTAATGTTAAGGAACAATGAATCGAAAGATATATAAAGAAGAAGAGAAAAATTGGATCATAGATTTTCAATGGCCAAACTCCCACGCATTTTAAAAGCTTTGTATTCCAATTGTATGCTCTTATAACATTGGCAATTCCTATTTCCTATAATGAAAAAATTAAATTGTTTAATTTGCTAAATTATTTTATTACTGTTTCATTACGATTTTAATTGTATTTCATTATAATTATTATTATTATATATACATTTATGTATAATTAATATATTAATATATTAATATATATATATGTAGTATAAATATAATTATATGTTAATTATAAATATAATGTATATATATAATTAATATTATAATATAAATGCATATATATAGATTATTGTTGTAAATATATATATTTATTTGTTCATGGTATTTCATTTATATATATATTTATATATATATATATATATATATATACGTTCATAATAATATCTTTATTGTTATTATATTAATATATCAATATTTACATATATATAATTATAAATATAATTATATATACACATATATGTATATATATATATATATATATATATATATATATATATATATATATATATATGTATAATTATACATGCATATTGTGCGTATGTATATATTTATATAAATTATAAACATAATTATATCTATTACATTATAATATATATATATTTATATTTTTAATTATAATATATTATTATATTATAATTATAGTAAATTTTATATAATTATATTTATAATAATAATATATAATTATATTATAATTATAATATATAATTAAATTATAATTATAATAAATTTTATATAATTATATTTATAATATTAATATGTTATTATATTATACTTATAATAAATTATATATAATTATACACTTTTATTGTATATAAATATATATATATATATATATATATATACATATATATATTTTATTATAAATATAATTATCAATTTTTATATATATAATTAATATAATTAATATAAGTATTTACTTATACAAATTATTTGTATAGATTATTTATATGCATATTATTTTTCTTGTATAATAATAATAATAATAATAATAATAATAATAATAATAATAATAATAATAATAATAATAATAATAATAATAATAATATATATAATTATTTCAAAATTAAACATTGAAACTTAATGTTTTAATATGTGAATATTGAAAAATAATATTTGAATATCACAAATAAAAATTATACATATTGATATTGATACATATAAACACACACACACACATATATAAATATATAAAAATATGTGCCACTTTATCATTCTATATATTCATTCTTTATTATATTATACCGGATGTTCAAAATAAAACGTTATAAATTTTTTGTTTCGTCAATGAATATATTTGAAAAAAATTGTTCAGATTAAAAATTGTCAGAGAATGAATAGAATAATATTATACTATTCATTATTTTCATATATTATAAATTTTTGAAATCAATTTAAGCTTAACTTTACTTTTCTTAAATGCGAGCCTTTATTTTTTTTATAATAAAAACTTATTATTCGTTAACAATAAGATGAAAACAAAAAAGAATAAATAAATTATGAATGTAATATTTTTTTTTTTTTTTTTTATCGAAAAACAAAGTCGACCTTCAGATAGCGTTAAAACTTTCAATTAAATATAAAAACAAGAAATATCATAATATTTCTCCTATTTAAATCAAATGACACTTGTTAGAACAATTTTTTTCAAAAATGTCGCGTTTTCGAGATAAAGATTTTTTAACGCATTGTTTTGAACACCCGATATATTGTCCATTAGAAATTTCACAGGACGATTATTCACCGATTGAAATGTATATATAATTATTAGACCTCATCGGTTCATATTTTTCATTATATTCACGTGCGTATATTAACATAAAAATTTCATTCCTTCGAAACTTTTATTCGTAAAATCAAATAATTCCTTGCGATCAAAAAAATCAAACATCAAAGATAGAAAGCATGACGATACAATTGTAGAATAGAATAAAAAAAAAAGAAAAAAAGAAAGAAATGAAAAAAATACCAAGCGAAACGTCACAGAATTCTCCGCGAAGTATAAGAATGTAAAGAATAAAAAAGTCAATAATATCTGTACGCTTATAAATGAAATTGCAATTACAAGAGAAATACACGTATAATAAAGAAATATTTGCAAATAAAATTTCACAAAAATAATTTCCAATTGAGAATAAACATTGAACACATAGATCGATGGAAAATCATTTCCTATCATTACATAGGATATCCATGGCACTTATTGGCGTCGTATATACGATCGTCGTATATTCGACATGAGACTCGTTTTACGGTTAGAAAAAAAAAGAGAGAGAGAGATAAAAAAAAGAAACAAAAAATAAAAACAAAATCAAACCATGCATTTTATCTTACTTCTATCCTATCCTTTCCCATTTTATCCCTTCGAAGGTTCGCGACAGACTGACGGTAAAGCGAACGAACGTCCTCCCTGGTAAACTTTGTTTGATAAATCCTTTAGATTCGCGTGCAAAAGGGATTGATTGAATAGTTAATCTCAAATATACGAAAATAATATTGAGAAAGAACTTGTCTTTCAATCCCTTCTAACAATGAGTTCAATCATTTCGTCGTTACGATCATCGATTATGTAAAATGGATAGGATGGGTGGTGGTGAAGCACCCTTCGACTCTCTCTCTCTCTCTCTCTCTCTCTCTCTCTCTCTCTGTCTCTCTCTCTTTCTCTCTCTCCCACTCCCTCTCTTTCTCTGTTTCGAGTACGTATAAAAAGCTTGAACTCACCCCTTCGGTTAGTCTCGTAAAACATGTCACCACATTTTTATAACCCTCGTCGAAAAACTTTGTCGAAACTCTATTTATCGGTCATTGAGATTATTCTCTTTTTTCTTTTTTTCTTTTTACTTTTTTTTTTTCTATTTTTGGAAAAAAGATTGAAAACGATCATGGTTTTCTAGAAGAAAAGAAATAACCGGTTTATTCATTCAACCCTGGTATACTCTTTCATTCGGTCATTGGTCATAGTTCGAAGTTTATCAGATTACATCTATTATCTTATAGTTTCTATAACACTACTACTTATCCCCACCCTTATCTTCTTCTCTTTACGTTCGTTCTTTCATCACCTTCAGTTCTATGTGATACAGTTAACGAGAAAAGACATTGATCGTTAAGGTTAGAAAAAAGTTTTGATGATTTACCAAAAAAAAAAAAAAAAAAAAAAAAATTTGTTTCTTCTTTCTTGACGATACATATAATAAAAATTTTCGAATACTTCATGGGATAAATTATTATTGACGTTATCTTTCCATAGAAATTTTCACGTTATTAGAATACTTGGGGTGGGGGGTGGAAAGTTTATGTAAGCTCGTATGTGTTTTCTAAACAACGAAAGGAATACTTTTGTTTTTAGTTTTTTTTTTTTTTTTTATTATCAGTTTGTCATTATTTTCAATATATGATTATTGGTCGAATTAAAGAGAACCTTGTTTAATTTTTTTTTTTTTTTTTTTTTTTATAAATCCTTCAAGAAGGTTAAACTTTTTTCTTTAATCTGATAGAATGTTTTAAGTATTTAACTTGGCAAATTAAAATTGAATGTCATTCAATTATTATTTTTTATTTATTATTTAATTGTTCATTTATATATCGATAATATATATGTATATATTGATTAAAAATAATTTACACGCACACACGTGCACACGCATAAACACACACATATATATATATAATATTGTATATGTATATCTATATGAATATTATTATTAAAATTTTCAATTAATTATCAGTAAATGATTATTTCGAATTGCTATTGTCAAAAAACTATTGTTCCTTCGTGACACTTGTTTCAATCATTTATATGCTCACTTATGCATTTATTTATTTTTCATTTATCATTTTATTATCTAATAATTATTTAAATTATATATTTAATAATTTAATTATGTATCGATCAAAAAAAAAAAAAAAAAAAAAAAAAAAAGAAAAGAGAAAGAAATTAGATATTTTTTTTTCTTCGAAATTTTTTAAATAATCCAGAAAACAAACAAATATTTGTTATGAACGCTATCGTAACATTTCGATTCTAATTTTTATATAAAATATTTCAGATTGATTGGAATATTCAAAAATAAATTCAACATTGCGATCATGAAGAATCAGCTATTACCATCCTAATTCCGGTTACATTTTATGGTAAATATACAAACGAATAATTTCTTTTTCGTTTTCTTTTCTTTTTTCTTTTTTCTTTTTTCTTTTTTCTTTTTTTTGCATTTTAAGAACGTACATAATTTCTTCGTGAAACAAAAGAAATACTTTTTTTAATATTTACTCATCTTCTTTTCTTTTACAAATTGGCTTATTAATTTTTCTTTGTATGAAAGGACTTAAATTAAAGATTAAATTAATTAATTTTTTAAATTAAAAATAATCACAAATTGACAAGTATTGATAATAAATATATACAAAAGTTTGTAATTTTTTATTTACGATAATTTCCACGGCGATCGATTAAACTAAAATGAAAATAATTCATTTTTAAAAAATAACACCAACAACGAATTCTTGAAATTATATAAAAATAGCGAATGTTTATATATATTTTCTTTTTTTACTGCTCATCGAAAAAGAGAACACTTTCTTTTCAGATTAAAAAAAAAAAAGAAAGAAAAAAAAAAGAAAAAACAACACTTCGGAAAGAAAATCAAATTGACAGGAAATTTTAAATTTAATGCAAATAATGATCGAAAAATTTGTAATCAATCATTTCAGTGATTTATAAGAATTTTTTCGTACAGATTTCAATTTTTTTCCGAATTGATTTTTATCGAATGAATTCTCATAGAATTTATTTCTACTTTACCGACGGATCGACGTTACTCGTTAATTTATCGTAAATGAGACTTTATGCTTCACGTTACATTTTTCGTCTATTGGTTATAAATTTTCGATTATCAATATATTTTTTTTCTTTTTTCATTACTAACAAATTTTACTTATATACTTGTAGATATTATTACTGTGGAAATGCATTAAAATAAAATACTATTGAAAAGGGAAAGGAAGAATTATGATGATGGAACTCCGCCATTGTTATTCCGCCATATTTTATAACCAGAAGGTTTAAATGTATATATATGAAATTATAGAATTTCAGAAAATATAGAAAAAAAATCCATTTTTTGGTTTCTTGATAGATCCTTGAATGGAAATTTTGTATTTAGTAATAATTGATAAGCAGACCAAGGCAAATAAAAATAATCTTTATAAATTATTTAAATAATATGTGTATATATATATATAAATTCCTTGATTAAAAATATTTTTTTTTTAATATATTTTTCAAAATATATATATATATATATATATATATATATATATATATATAAATTCCTTGATTAAAAAGTATCCTTACTTAAATCATCATTAATTAATTTCTCCAAAACGTTTATCAAGATCGTGTAAATAATAATAATATATAGGATGCAGATTCGTGAAACTATAATGATGAAATTTTTATCGAATTAATTCTCATAGAATTCATTTCTACTTTACCAACGGATCGACGTTACTCGTTAATTTATCGTAAATGAGACTTTATGCTTCACGTTACATTTTTCGTCTATTGGTTATAAATTTTCGATTATCAATATATTTTTTTTCTTTTTTCATTACTAACAAATTTTACTTATATACTTGTAGATATTATTACTGTGGAAATGCATTAAAATAAAATACTATTGAAAAGGGAAAGGAAGAATTATGATGATGGAACTCCGCCATTGTTATTCCGCCATATTTTATAACCAGAAGGTTTAAATGTATATATATGAAATTATAGAATTTCATAAAATATAGAAAAAAAATCCATTTTTTGGTTTCTTGATAGATCCTTGAATGGAAATTTTGTATTTAGTAATAATTGATAAGCAGACCAAGGCAAATAAAAGTAATCTTTATAAATTATTTGAATCATATGTGTATATATATATATAATTTTTTTTTTTTTTATATTAATAAGAGAATCAATTTTAGAAAGATATTTAATTATAATGAGATATGAAAGTGATCTTAATAATATATGGACGAAATAGGATAAGAAGGATGTCTTCATAGAAGTGTTCGTAGTACTGACAGATATCCCATCGTAGTTTTGAGAATCTATTAAAAACAAATTAACGATTAACACATTGTAATATTAATTTAAATGTAAATTGTGGAATTTTTTTTTTTTTTTTGAATACTTACGTCGGTAAAGGAGGCCAATGATAGGACGAAGAATTTACCGGAAGTAAGCTGTTGTGGTTTTTTCATTCGCAACATACAAATGTTAACCATTTTTAAGTTCATTGGTGACACGTTATACCACTCGTAACGATAAAATGCATTGCTCAGGTTTGAACTCTAAATTTTTCAAATAATTACAATGATTATTATAAATATAAAGTGATTGATATATCACACATAGTATCTTATCGAATTTGATCGCAATAAATTTGTTTTCGTTTTCTTTCTTTCAAATTATTATAGACTACTTTCATATAGTTCGTAAATATTTTTGTTAATAAAAACAAATCATATTCTGTTTGATCAAATTTCTGACTTGATTAAATGAAAATATTTTTATCATATATCGTAAGGATACATTGTAAAATTTCAAAATAAAAGGAAATACGAAATTATTATTTTTTTTTTTCTTTTTTCATAAAATTATTCTAAAGACACTTTATCGAATGTTTTAATTGAGATTTTATTAATTTTTAGAAAATAATTTTTCTTTTTTTTTTTTTTTTTTTTTTTTTTACAGTAAATGAACCATTGAATATTTTCGATTTGAAAATTACTCCGATCTGATGATTCGTTTAAAAAAATATTACAAATAAAAGTTTGTACGCATTTGAAAGGATAAAGTGATATAATCAAAATGAGACACACCGTATACGAAAAATAATATGTATAAAAATATTTATATGTCAATTTAATAAATCATTTCAATTTGTTTTCTATTTAATATTTCAAGAAAGATTTATCAATTGATTTTATATCATGAAATACTTAATTAATAATATCACTTGATGTATTCAAAAAAAAAAAAAAAAGAAAAAAAAATAATTAATAATTATTAATATTAAGTGAAATATTGAACGATTTTAAATATATCTAATATTATATTTTCATTAAATTTCATTAAAGTAAGAAAATAAAAATCACACATTTGTTACTGAATCATTATACTTTATAAAAATGATTCCTATATTATTTTTTTTTTTTTCTTTTATTCATTTCTTTTGTAAAATCAAATAAATATCAATTAATAACAATAAGAAATTTTACGCGAATGAATATATTTATTAGAAATTAAAATATTGTTAATAATAATTGAACAATTTTATTAACAATCAAATTAAATAAGATTAAATGAGATGTATCTCGTGAATTAATTTTCGATTACTTCTTGAATAAGACACTCGCCGATGTAACAATAAGTAAACAATGTACTTAGGACGCCAAAAGCATACGAATAGAATAAGATCAATGTTATTCCTTCTTTGCTTACTGTACTCTGGAAGAAAATTGTAAACATTAGAAAAAAGAAAAAAAAAAGAAAAAAAAAAAAGGAAACGAAATATCAAAAATATTCAGTTACATTAATTTCGATTACACACATCGTATGATGTATATACATTACCAGAAGTGTATTGTAACCAGATATACAAAGTTGTAACGTTGTTCCCATCAATTGTTGCAATATTATTACATTAAAATTATCTTCCAAACTTTCTGCCTGCCTGAAAAAGAAACAAAAAAAAAAAAATAAAAAAAAAAAAACAAAAAAAAATGTCCAATAAAATATATAAGATTTTAAGATAATAGTCGTAATGTGATATAATAAAATATAAAAAAAAAAAATAATTATTCATACATTCGTTAATGAGATTATAATTATTTGTCCAGGTAGATCTTTTTCTTTTTTTTCTTTTTTTTTTTTTTTTTTTTCTTATAAAATTAATTGTCACGTTAAAATCGTACAAAAAAGTAATCTAATATATTTGTTAAAAATAATGTGTAACGTTAATTATTTATATCAGTATATATTTTGTTGGATAAACAAATGCGTCTTTTTCTTGTTTTTGAAAAAGAAAAAAAAAAAAAAAGGAAAAACATTTCAATTGTCGAAATATTAATTTCGATTACGTAAAAAATATATATCATACAAAAGTTACTGATATTTTTGCACGTGCGATATGTCATCGTTATAAAAAAAAAAAAAAAAAAAAGAAAAAATTGTTTCTATTACAAAAAACAAAAAAAAAAAAAAGAGGGAAAAGCAAATTTGACTGATAAAAAAAAAAAAAACGTACTTGAAAAAAATTTACACCTTTGTAAAGAAATTATAATTGTCACGATATTACACCATTAAAAATCTAATAAATCACATACGAAGAATTTTCAATAGAAAAATTTTGTCCACGTGTTTATAGAAGTAACAATTTGAAAATTACATCCTATCGAATATCGCTTTATAACATCGACTGCATTTCATTTATTGAATTGCATCGAGTTCGCCAAAAAAAAAAAAAAAAATAAAAAAAAAAAAAAAACAAAAAAAAGAAACGAAAAATATTTAATTATTATCGAGAAAATGTTCACCTTGATTTTTACCTTATCAATTTGTAATGTTGAAAAACAAGTTTCCTTATGTTACGTTGAAAGCCATTAGAGTCGTCGAGAATTTCTCTGATAGTGCAACTGAGAATTCCAAATTGTGCAGTAATATGAAATGCAAGATTGGTAAACAAACAATCGAATCCAACGAAGCCTAATGTAATACACGGTATCACCAACATCTGATAAATGCAGAGACAAATATAGATCCTAATATCGCGTATATCAATAATGGTTCGTGTTTTGTATGGTAGTTTGTAACTCAATGATGAATTTCTTATTGCTGTAACGAATAAAATATAATATAATAATAATAATAATAATAATAATAATAATAATAATAATAATAATAATAATAATAATAATTTATATAAAATATGTATAAAATAATTTTTAAATAATACACGTATGATTTAATATAATAATATATATGAATTTCATACATTGAATATAGAAAATAAAATTAAGATAAATTAGATGGAATAATTGTCATTGGAATATTTCGATTCGATTTAAATGATAATATTTGACATTTTGATTATTTATCAAATTATATATTATTATTTGTTATTTATTATTTTTTTGTTATTAATTATTATTATTTTTTTTCTTTCGTTTATTCTTTTTTCTTTTCTTCCTTATTATCGTTATCGTAAATTAATTTTAAACTTCTTCTTTTTTCCAATTAAAAATTCATTATTATAGTTAATATACTTAGTATTCATTACTATAGTTAGTATACTTATTGTTGGATAGTTTCGTTTGTTTCTTTTTTTCTTTTCTTTTTTTTTTTCATTTTTTTTATTGAATATTAAGATTGTTTTCATTTGAAGGATATCGATTGACTTGAGTGATAATTGATTAAAATCATCGAAATAATTAATCAAAAAAAAAAAAAGAAAAAAAAAAGTTGAAAGAATACAAAATTCCAGAGAAAAAAATATTAAATTCATTAAACTTCCGGTTCTAACAATCGAAAATCCGATCATTTTATTTTACATTATTAAAATATTTTTTTTCCCACGTGAAAACATGAAACATTGCATTACATGAATATAATATATAAATTTCTTTTTTTCTCATTTCGTTTGCTCAAAACTAAGATAATATTCAAAAATGTTTCATAATTTTTGTAAACAATTTGTACACGCATATAATTGGATAAAAGTGTAATTAATTTAATAATAAATTATCTCTTGTATAAATTTGACAGAACGATTATTACCCATTCGGACGTTAGGCATCAATTCTTGGATGTAATAAAATGCACCGGCAATAGTCATCGTTGGTACTGCTACTAAAAAATAATATTTCGCCAATTTGGTATATTTCATGAAAATGAATCTCTTCTCGAACGTATTGTAATTGTCAACGATAAAATTATTTTGTATTTCGACGAGTAAAAGTTTTAATGATCGTCTGTTCATCCAGCACATTGTTATTTTCGTTAGCGTCATTAGGAGTAATACGTTTTCAGTGAAAATTGCCATGTTAACTTCGAAATTGTGTTTACAATGTGTCAATTCGGCAAATGTCAATGAACAATGTAAGAAAAGATAAATAAAGAAAAAGAGAAAAAGGGCATTAGAAATTTCAAGAGGCCAAATTCCAACGTATTTCAGTAATAATCTGTTCCATAGTAATGACTTCTTTGCCTCGGTTACGTCGATTATCTGTAATAATAATAATAAATATATTTATATATACATATATATATATATATATATATATATATATATGTAAAAATTAGTAAATACTTGAAAAAGATATAATAAATTATTAGAAATGAAATAAAGAACATAATTCAGTAACTATAGACTAAAAAAAAATTATATAATGTTATTTTGTATAAATATATATATATATACAAATTAGTAAATACTTGAGAAAGATATAATAAATTATTAGAAATGAAATAAAGAACATTATTAAGTAACTATAGTCCAAAAAAGAAATTATATAATGTTATTTGAATGATTCCCTTAAT